ACTTGGGGGAGCAAACAACTGTGCATATCTCTCTATCAGTGTTATAGAGGGCGAACAATTTATGAGTTTGCCCTGCATAAGCTTTATGCAGGGTAAAACAAATTTATTTGGGTTTAGACCCCATTGGGAGTTGAGCATCTAAGTGCTAAAGACAAGCGCACTTCTGTACGCTGTTTTCAGGTAACTTGCAGCTTGGGGACAAGTGATTCAGACCCTAGATCTGTGTCTGGAGCCAAACGGGAGTGTCTGGCTCAGCAAGACAGGGTGCTGGAGTCCTGAGCTGGCAGGGAAAACAGAAGCAGGGGTAGTCTTTGCACATCGGGTGGCAGCTCCCAAGGGGGTTTCTGTGATCCAACCATCTTTTCCAATTTAACCAATAATTGCTCGTGCGGTACAGTATCAAACGCTTTACTGAAATCGAGGTATATTAGGTCCACTGCATTTCCGTTATCTAATAAGTCTGTTACTTTCTCAAAGAAGGAGATCAGATTGGTTTGGCACGATCTGCCTTTCGTAAAACCATGTTGTAATTTGTCGCAATTGCCATTGACCTCAAGGTCCTTAACTACTTTCTCCTTCAGAAGTTTCTCCAGGACCTTGCATACTACAAATGTTAAACTAACAGGCCTGTAGTTACCCGGGTCACTTTTTTTCCCTTTCTTGAAAATAGGAACCACATTAGCTATTCTCCAGTCCAACGGTACCACCCCCGAGTTTATAGATTCATTAAATATTATCGCTAAGGGGCCTGCTATTTCTCGCGCCAGTTCCTTCAATATTCTTGGATGAAGATCATCCAGTCCGCCCGATTTAGTCCCGTTAAGGTGTTCAAGTTTGGCTTCTACCTCGGATACGGTAATGTCAATCCCCCCTCCTTTATTCCCCTCTGTCACAGTGCCACTATTTGTAAGCCCTTCATTAGCCTCATTAAAGACCGATGCAAAATATTGATTTAGATATTGTGCCATCCCTAGATTATCCTTTATCTCCACTCCATCTACAGTCTTCAGCGGTCCCACTTCTTCTTTCTTTGTTTTCTTCCTGTTTATATGGTTATAAAACCTCTTACTATTAGTTTTAATTCCCCTCGCAAGGTCCAACTCTGCAGGCTTTTAGCCTTTCTCACTCCATCTCTACATGCTCTGACCTCAATAAGGTAGGTTTCCTTACTGATCCCTCCCCTCTTCCACGGTTTTCAGTGAACTTCTGGCAAGCAACGGAGATGCCGTATCTGGACAGGGTCTGGTCCGGCATTGATTTTCCCCGCGCCCCGACACGTGGCATTCTCAGAACCCAAAGCCGGGGTCACATCATTGCTTCCCTCCCGGCCGTGTGCGGAAGAAATCAGTGGGAACACAACCCCTCCGGCTGGGGAGAGATTGATCCAAGTGAGCGTGCTCTTGTCTGAACCCACAATGGATGAGATTCAAGCAACGAGTCCAGAACGTCCAAAATTGTTACCTCAAGTCTGAGATGGTATCGTGTAATTAACTGCCAATCCGCGATGCCTGGTCTGTTTCCCACTGGGGCGTCTGGGGTCAGGAAAAGTCTCAGCTTCAGAGAGCTGCTCCAAACTTCACTCTTAACTCACCTTTTTACAACCGATTTTTACAAACCGCGCAGCCTCCGGGGTCAGCACCGGTCCTAAGGGCAATCAACCCCTTCTGAGCAAACCTTCCTAAGAACCTAAGCAAGCAACTAAGACCCTGAGAAGAAGACAAGACTCCAATACAGGCGATTGGCCCAGGATTAAGGAACAAACCTGTATACTTGTGACAAAGTGGGAATGTTCTTAATGTTTCCTCTGAATACTGTGTGGGTGCCTCAGTTTCCCCTATGCATTTATTAAGTCTCTAGGGGGTGGGATAAAGGCCAGTGTGCTAAATGGCCGATACTCTGTCTCCTGGCAACTAATGGCTGGGGCCCTTCCCCCCTGCAAGGGGATGCTAAAGGTGTGGGAGAACAAAGAGATCAGGTGACCTCCTGGCCTGGGAAAGAGACAAAGGCCAGAGGAGGGGCTGGAGGGGGTTTCAGTTTGGAGCTGGCTGGGGATGGGAAGCGAAGGCAGACAGGTTTGTCTGGCTCGTGGGACCCCAGAATGGACCCGGCTGAGGGGTCCTGTTCTCTGTACCTACAAGTTCTGTTTTAGACTATGTTCCTGTCATCGAATAAACCTCTGTTTTACTGGCTGGCTGAGAGTCACGTCTGATGGTGGAATTGGGGTACAGGGCCTCTGGCTCCCCCAGGACCCCGCCTGGGCAGACTCGCTGTGGGAAGCGCACGGAGGGGCAGAGGATGGTGGCTGCTCCGAGGTCAGACCCAGGAAGGTGGAAGCCGTGGGAGCTTCTTGCCCTGAAGACAGTCTGCTCACAGAGAGGAGACTTCACCAGAGTCCTGCCCGGCTTCGTAGGGAGCAGTCCCAGAGCATCGCCCGGGGACTCCGTGACACCTGGTGGCAGAGGTGGGATGTATTGCACCCCGTGAATGGCGCTTCCTTCAGTAAGTGACTGGGGAGCAGGAAAATGAAGGGGGGATAACGAGGACCAGGCGTGCTGAAGGCTCAGAGAAGGATGGTTTTAGGGGGCGACTAAGGACTGCAATATCCAGTGGGGTGAGAGAAACTGCTTCATCTCATTGGTGTTCAGTCTACCAGGGTTGAGAGTTTAGACTGCGTGCTTAGATTTTATTTTCTTTTGGTAACTAATCTGACTTGTGCTTTGACTTATAATCACTTAGAATCTATCTTTACAGTTAATAAATCTGTTTGTTTATTCTATCTGGAGCCGTGCGTCTGGTTTGCAGCATGTCAGAGACTCCCCTGGGGAGAACAAGCCTGGTACATATCAATTTCTTTGTTAAATTGACAAACTCACATAAGCTGGCAGCGTCCAGCGGGCATAACTGGCACTGCAAGATGGAGGTTCCCAGGACTGTGTCTGGGACCGGAGATATTGGCGAGTGTCATTCGGTTGCACAATCCAAGGAGTAGTTTACACGCCAGAGGCTGTGTGTGAACAGCCCAGGAGTGGGGGTTCTCGCAGCAGAGCAGGGTCAGGCTGGCTCCCGGACTCGAGGTTTGGTAATGATTTAGTTGGTGTTGGTCC